ATTTGAAGCTTAGCATTGTTTTTACTTTTTATGGACTTCGTAATGTTTACTTGATTCATTTGTCCAACCGACATTTCCACAATTTACTTTGACAAAATTAGAAACTTTGAGACTTGAAAACCTAAATTCCTTTATTGTCAAAATCCTTCATTTCAAATTACCAAGAAAATTAATAATGTGGAACATATCTTAAGTCTTTGGGAATAATTCTTTATTACTAAATATTGATTCCGGAACTTGAATTTTGAATTGCAATCTTTTCATGCTTTGAATTCTTCATTTTTAATCTTGAATTTTGCCTCCTTTGATTCTTCAATACTTGTTCTTGATACTGCTTCTTGATCCATAATCTTGATTCTTGATCTTGGTTGTGGGTTTTGAACATTCCTCTTCAATATGTTTTTTATTGTATTCTTGTATTGATTGGATGATACAAAGAATGAGAAGTTACATATGAATTTGAGGTCATAACCCTAAATATAATTTCATATGTATTTGACACAACGTCAAATACAACCCTAATAAATTCTATCTCTACATATATAATCCGGCTCACACTTTATTTTGATGTTCTGAGCCCACAGTTTAATTCTTTATTAGATCAATTTAATTTGGCACAACTTTAAATTAGTCTTATACATAATTAATTACATATATAAGCCCACATGACAAATTAATAATCTCAACATTATCAGCTACACAATTTTTATTTTAGCAGCTAAAATTTTAATTTTACTTTTAATATTAATAGTTCCTAGCCTTGAACTACCAACCTAGCTTGGTACTATTCAATTTCGCCATCGGTTTGATTTTTGTTCCAAAACCCATTTCACATCAATAGGTTTTAGCCATTTTGAAATTTTGTGACTTGTCATTAATTTCATCAAATTGTTGACAATTTATTCATGATGGCCCTCTTATATTGGTGGAGGAGGAGTAAGTTTTGGTGTTACATCTCTTTCTTATTTATAGCTTGTTTGGGAGGAATTTTTGGAAGAATAATTGATTTTTGAATAGTGATATGATGAGAAATGTGTGGTTGAAAAAGAAAAAAAAATTATTGATGTGATGGAAAATATTATTTTATTAAAAAATGCGTGGTTGAAAATGAGAATTGATTTACTGTACAATTTGAGAATCTCTTCGAAACACCCCCTTATATGTTTTTGAATCGGGCTACGTTAATTTGTAAAAGTTACGAATGAAATGTCATTAGTTGTATTTATGTAGTGTTGCTGTAAATATTAAAAAATTTAATTATGGTACGGAACCGAACCGAACCGAACCCAACCCAAACGGTTGATATAATGGAAAATGTGTCGTTGAAAAAGAAGAAAAAATTATTGATGTGATGGAAAATATTATTTTATTGAAAAATGTGTGGTTGAAAATGAGAATTGATTTACTGTAGAATTTGAGAATCTCTCTCAAACACCCCCTACATTAATTGTTAGATTTTGATTTGGATGAATAATACAATTAATCTTTGCCTAAATTATAATTATATAATCCAAATTAAACCCTTTTCTTGACTCAATTGACCATATATTCCTATAAGAATGGGATACGATTTGAGTCTAGAATTCTCTATTTGAAGCCCCTATATGTTCATGTTTGGTACAAGTATATTATTATGCCAAGTTCAACCACAAACTCTTTGTTGTTCTTAGAAAAAAAAAATATTGAAATTTGAATTATACCACTTTTGGGAGTAAAATTCAAGTTTCATCAAATGGACAATGAACACAAAACTTGTGTCTTGATTTAAATTAGACCTTTGAAGTTTATTTCTTATAATTTTGTCATCAAATCTATATAGTTCAAAATGGCAAGTTATAAATATTTACGAAATGAACACAAACTATCAATTTTCAAGTTAGCCACTGTTTGAGCCACATTAAAATTTTCATTTTCATTTTTCTATTCATTTTTAACCACACATTTTTCAATAAAATAATATTTTCCATCACATCAATAATTTTTCATTCATTTTCAACAACACATTCTCTATCAATCTATAATTCCAAAATACATTCTTTCAAAATAATGTGGCTCAAACTCGTGTCTCAATTTAAATTCTAAAGACAACTAAACAATTTATGATAAAAAATTCTAAAGACAACTAAACTCGTGTCTCAATTTAAATTAGATCATTGAAATTTATATGTCACGATTGTAAAATTTAATTTAAATGTTTCTTTTGATCGAACTACTCCACCTAACTCCGATATACCGCCAAACAAAAAAGTGATATTGAGATGTCCTAAATATTAATGAAATGAACATGGACAATCAACATAACAAATTGAAGGGAGCGTGACACCTAGAAATAAAATAGATTTTAGAAAATAGAATTAAAATTATTAATTCAAAGATCAATTCTATAAACCAAATTGAAATTTGAATAGAAATTAAATGACTTGGAAAAAATTTACTTTTACCTTTTTTTTTTTAAATTTGATTTTCACCAAGCACAAATTTTATCCATATTTTGTTTTCCCACACAAATTTTGAATTCCCCTATAATCAACAATTTTCTGTAGCGAAAGATTTTCAAGATTATTAATTATCCAGAGAACAGTTGTATCCATTAATAAAAATACTACATCCGCCCTACCTTACATTGCCCTCCCACTTAGGTAATTGGAACGGAAATGGAGAACATCGTCACTATTTCAAATCTTTTTATTTTATTTTATTTTTATATTTTAAAATTTCATTTATACTTTACAATTAAAAATAAATAACTAAATGAGATTATAAATAAGCCCTTGTTTCAGACCCATTCGATAAAAAATCATTTTTTCAAATCCATTTTTAATCACAAATTCTACTAATAAAATAATTTTATACGTAAATAAAAAAAATTTCATATTTTTTAATCACAATTCTCCAAAAAATTACTGTTACAAAATCAAATTTTCCAAATAATTGAGCTCAAGCAACCGCTAAATAGGGATGAAAAGGGTCACATCGACGTGCCACACCACGTTGTCATCTAAAAATTAATGTATAATTTAGCTCATATTCGTCTCCTATTTTTTCAAAATTCTTTTTTTTACATACTCATTCAAACACACATTCACATAATAAAGCCCATGTTCTGACATGCTGAGTCACATTCAGCGATTTATTACCTCTACAATGTTCTAGGGATGAAGCGGTAGGGGACCCTTAAGGTTGGGGTTCAACCTTTAATAAAGCCCATGTTCCTCCTCCATTAATTTTAATTCATTTTTCTCTCTCCTATTATCAACCACGTATTCTCTAAATAAAATAATATTACATATAAATTCAAAAAATCTACATACTTTTTAATCACACATTTTTCAAAAAAGACTATTTCAAAAACAATTTTTTTTAAATGATGGAGTTCAAGCAAAGGCAAAATATTTTACACGTAAACCTAAAACTTTTACCTACTTTTTAATCACACATTCTCCAAAAATTCATTATTCAAAACAATATTTAAAAAATAAATAAAAATGGCCCGCAAATGAGGGCTTAACTTGACATCTACTAGCTCAGCACTCTATTTGAGTCATTAACCGAGTCAGGCCGAGTGGAGTTTCAAAATTATAGCCACAAGGTGGGGAGAAGTTAGTGGTTATAATTGATTGAGCCGGCAGTTAGTGGCTTAGCCCACAAGCTCGTGAGCTCACGAGTCGAGATGAGCTACGTCAACAAGCTCCTTTTTTAAAAATTTTTAATTTATTTTGTGGAGTCGAGCCGACAAGTTGCTCCAACCTTTTGCCACCCTAGGAGAAGTGGGGCAAATTGGGTTTAAAAGATTGAATGAAGTTGAAGCCTGAAGGGAGAGGCGGGAGGGACCACCTGGATAGTTACAAATCTTGCTATAAAAAGGAGTTGTTGCCTGCCAGCCACCAAGACATTCGCTCTCTCTTTTTCCTCTCTCCCAGAATTATTCCAGCTTTTCAAAAAACCTCACAAAAAAAAAGAAGAATAATAATAATAATAATAATTCCAAAACAGAAACCAAATTTGAAGTAAGGCCTCGAAGCACAGGGAAAAGAATCGTAGCAACGCACGATCTGCGAACCCTAGAAACAACGCGAGACTCTCCTCCAACGGGTACAATGATCATTTCCCTTTCCCTTTGATACATTTATATTTATTCAAATGAAAGTGTTTTCGTCTAGCGTTTTCTGGCCGTTGAAAGGTTTGTCATTTTCTGTTTTGATTTTTTTTTTTTTGAAATTCTGTGCTTTTTTTTCGATCTGGAGTGTTCGAATTCTAATGTTATATGATTTCGTTATGTTATGGGGGAGAATGGAGCGGTAGGATGGGGAACATTGTTTGATTTTGATGTTGGAGTTTGAAAATGAAATATATTATAATAATTGTTTCATTTTTGTGGTTGAATTCTCAGATCTGGTTTTATTATTTAATGGAAGCGTGTGTTTTTGTTTTATTTATTTTTTTGGAATTGTGGTTAGCTCGTTAAATATGTATTGATGAGTTTGAGTTGAAATTATTGTATTTGTTTGTCTGCGTATAAGCGTGGGGAAATGAATTGAATGTATCGTTTCAACTGCAAACATGTGTTCTTCTATTTAATTGCGTTTTGCCTAATATGTTTATTTATAAGTTTCTCTGCATCCATTGAAAAGAAAAAAAAAGGAATACCTTAGGGGGAAAAAAGCTGCTGTTATGGAATTTCGTTATACAATGAAGATAATCCTCTTTTCTGGCTCTTCCTAGTCTTTTTTCTCATTGTTACAGGTTCCCCTCTTTTATGATGTACAGACGTGACCTTTTTGAGATGTGAATAAATTATTTTTTTACACACCATGATATTTACTTGTAAAGGAAATGAGTAATAATGTTTTAATTTGTGGATTACATTGTTGTGCAGAGAGAAAATGACATATTGGTGATTCTTTGATCAAGTTGAACCATACCCTTGTGGGTTGCATTTTCCAAGAGTTTTTAATTTTACTTCCTTGTCGCATAGACTGAATTAATAGGTTACAATAACAATGGTAGCCACTGCTGCAACTTCTGCCTTTCTCCCAATAGCTTCTTCAGCTTCAGATGCCTCATCAAAAACTCCTGGAACACTTGGAGGAAGCATCCCCACAAGACTTGATGGAACCGGGATTAAACTGAAGTCCACTGCTTCCCGAAAGTTACAGGTTAAGGCCAATGCACATGCTCCTCCCAAGGTCAATGGGACCAAGGTTGGAGTTATGGATGGCCTTAAGACTGAGGATGATGTGACATCATCTTCTCACCCGAGGACATTCATCAATCAATTGCCTGACTGGAGCATGCTCCTTGCTGCAATCACAACAATATTCCTGGCAGCTGAGAAGCAATGGATGATGCTTGATTGGAAACCAAGGCGGCCAGACATGCTTGCTGACCCCTTTGGTTTGGGAAGGATTGTGGAAGATGGTATGATTTTTCGTCAAAACTTCAGTATCAGGTCATATGAAATAGGGGCTGATCGTACTGCGTCTATAGAGACTTTGATGAACCATTTGCAGGTATCGTTGGGAAAAATCATTGTTCTAGTGCATTTTTGTGCTTTCTAGTTATTTATTTTTATGTACTGAACCTACTATATGTTTAGCCCACTGCTGCTTGACTAGATAGAACTCCTTTTGCAGGAAACAGCTCTTAACCATGTAAAGACTGCAGGACTGTTGGGTGATGGCTTTGGTTCAACTCCGGAGATGTGCAAAAGGAATTTAATTTGGGTGGTTACCAAAATGCAGGTTATTGTAGATCGGTATCCTACTTGGTAAGTTTTTCCCTTGTTTATATTTATTCATGATAAACCATCTCCAAGTTTGGAAAGTATTTGTCCAATCCTAAGTGAAAGTGAACTGATTTCATCATTACTTGGTTAAAGTTCCTCGAGTAAATGTTATCTAATTAACTTGGTAAAATTTGAATGTCGTAGATATTGATTCTTTCTTGCAGGGGTGATGTCGTTCAGGTCGATACTTGGGTAGCTGCATCCGGGAAGAATGGGATGCGCCGAGACTGGCTTGTACGCGATAGCAATACTGGTGACATATTAACTAGAGCTTCAAGGTTGGACACTGTTCTATAAACTTCCCTAACTATTTATTAAAGATGACTAATTGTTCTTTAAATGTAAATAGACCTGCCGTGGCCAGCATTTTTTATCCATGCTCACTGGAATGGTCACTGGGTATAGGAATCATGTCTTTGTTGAAACTAGATTACTAAACTTCCAATGTCCTTAGATGGGTGTTAGACCTAATGTCCTTAGATGTGGAATTTAGTTTAACTGAACTGAACTAACTGCTATCTTTTTGGTTTTTATGAATTAACTGCAGTCTATGGGTGATGATGAATAAAGAGACAAGGAGGTTGGCCAAAATTCCAGATGAGGTCAGGGAAGAAATAGGAGGGTATTTTGTGGATTCTCTGCCTGTCGTGGATGAGGATAGCAGAAAGCTACCAAAACTGAATGATGACAATGCAGATTATGTTCGTACTGGGTTAACTGTGAGCAACACACCCTTTCTCTATGAAGAACGTTACTTTGTTTCTATGACATTTGTCACCAGATTCACCACACACCCCTTCACCTGATCTCACTCTATTGAAACTGATCTAAGAATTCAGCCAAAATGGAGCGAATTGGACGTAAACCAGCACGTTAATAAATTGAAATANAACCAGCACGTTAATAATGTGAAATATGTCGGATGGATTCTTGAGGTAAATATTCTTCTCCCCTTTATTATTTTAAAGTATATTATTGTTTTTCTTCGTTACTGCTAAAATCTTGGAAGTTCTTATTTTTACATATGAATAGGGATTTATCATTTTTAAAAGGATAATTGTGGAATATCCATGCAAAAATATTGCTCTGCATGAACAATGTTGTTATACTAAAGAAGACATCTGATTCAGGATGGAATGCATATGTATTTGAACAATGTTGTTATACTAAAGAAGACATCTGTTTCAGGATGGAATGCATATTTATTTATATTATTTTGCAGTTTGAGCCTAGGAATTTTGAATTTGGCCCTCAAACTGCCTGTCACAGCTCCTTTCTTTTTTAACCTTCTTTTTGTTTTCATTTACGTTTTCTTTGTAGTTGGAAGATTTTTTTTCTATCCGTTTACTTTTTGGCACTTGATTGTTGTTTCTTGGAATATGAGGTTGTCAAGTTCCTCAGAAAACTTGGATAATATACAGAGGTACTTAATTATACTTGTATGTTATATTTTTGTGTACATCTAACATCAGCTGATGTGAGATACTTCTTCAGCGTGGAATAACATTACTTCACAGGAATATGATCTAAACTTCATATTCTCAATTCGCTCAGTAATGCTTGCTAAAGTCTTTAGGCCTATGTTCTCTTTTTGTTGTTCAACTTGGGGAAAAGGCATCAGGCTAGATGAGTCTTTATATTGGGTAACTAATGGACAAGGTTGCTCAAGAATCTGAATAATAATCAGTGGGTAATCAAAAAACCTATAGACCATGGATTTCACCATGTCTAGCCAGGGATAAACACCCTTAACCACGGGCAATAATAAATTGTGTATGCTAAAGACTCCAATAGCTTTTTTAGTGGGAAAAAAATAGTACTTTCTAGAACTACTAAAAACTGCTTCCTATTCCAACTAGTTATAGTTTTGAGATGTTCCTTTTATGCATATTGTACTTTGCATGGATTGTGCATTTTTGGTGTGTGGTAAAAAGAAAATAAAAATATTGTCTGGGCCATCTTGACGACTGGCATTGACAACAACTTATTCTTGATGTAAATTATCTTAGAAAAAGTTTTATTATCTATTTTGCCTATTGGCTTCTGTGAGGACTTGTTTCGAGATAATTTGCATCTTACTGTGAGTGGTTTACTTTGGTTGCAGAGTGTTCCATTGCCTATCTTGGAGACTCGTGAACTTGCTAGCATGACTCTCGAGTATAGGAGGGAATGTATGAGGGATAGTGTGCTGCAATCCCTTACTTCCGTGGTGAGCAATGGTGTTGGTGATTTGGCAAGTTCTGGTAAGGTTGAATGCCAACATTTGCTTCGACTGGAGGGTGGGGCTGAAATTGTCAAGGGGAGGACTGAATGGAGGCCGAAATATAGTAATAGGATGGAGAGCTGGGGTGAGCTCCCTGCTGGAAGTGCTTAAGCGAATGTCCTCTCGCAG